GAAGACCCTCTATGAGATGGATTGATTCGGTGACTGGGGTAATGGGGATGGGTGTGTCAGAGGCAGTGCGGTTGGCACAGGATAGAGCAGGATTTAGGGCTGTTGTGCATAGGGTCGCTATGAGTCGCAAACGACTCGACGGCACATAACAACAACAACAACATTTCAAACAGTTTCAAAATATTCCTGTAGTGTTCATTTTGTTGCTGCTACTTTTGCAACAAGAAAAACTTTTCAAATAATTTCTGACTTTCTCAGTTTTGCTCACTATAGCCTCTATTGAAATATTTGACATTATCAAAGTATTGTCATACTACCAAAACCTTGATAAATTGGTAACAAGAAGAAAAAATACTGCTTATTTTGGTACCAGATCATTATAGTGCATGATTTCATTATAGTGTGTTTCTTTATTTTTCTGGCTGTAATTTTGCATACTTTGAAATTGGTGCTGTGATATAATTTTGTTTAGTGATATTTACATTTAATATACGGTTTTAAGATTGCCTACTGTGGTCTTTGGAGCTCCGGTGTCCTAGTGGTAAGAAACTGTACTGTAATCCTAAAGGCATGCAGTTTTAATACACCAGCTGCTCTGCCGGAGAAGGAAGGTCAACTGTGTGTTGGTTCCGAATTGATCATACACAACCACCATTGTGTTTATTATTGTTATTTTAATAAAAATGCTATATTTCCTTTAGTATCCTGTTGGCAGTACTGGTCCACCTGGTGACTATGTCTAGTCCTATAACGAGTTCTGCCTAGAAACCCCGTGTGTTGTTCTACCTTGTCACTTAGGAGTACTATGTTTCCAAATTGATGCTACAGCACTGAACACCAGTTTTGTCCCCATAAAATCCATGGACTAGACTGATTACACCACGTTATGAGATGCATACATTCTCAATAATTAATATAATTTCAAAATTATCCTTCTAAGCACAGATAAACTTTTGGCAAACTCACATGTATTCCTCTAAATTTTGCTCTTCATAGTTATTTTCATAGCTGTGGCAGTAATTTATTTATTGAGACTGTTTTTGGATTTAGAACTCTTTTCTTCTTTATGAATTATTTGGATGATTTTCTGTTTAATGCCTCTGGACTAACCTGAATGTCAAGTTTTCCCTATGGAACAGGAAAGATATCATGGTTATCAAATGCTTCTGAAAGTAACAATGACTCCACAAGTATTACTGTCTCCCAACTCTCACATAAACAGTTCATATTTTTGAAGAAAATTCCTGTGTGACAAATTTCGTGAGAAAGTGTTCTGAACTTAAGAACATAACTGAATCTTCTATCAGTTGCAGTTATATTCCAAAAGTTCTGGGAGAGCTATCTTGTGAACAAAAGCTGAAAAAAGAGTTTTCAGATTCAAAGATACAACTTGATCCAGGAATGCATTTGAATTGCTGAGTGAAATTGCTTCCTAAAACAAGGTGCCTGCTCTATTTCTTCAGAGGTGAAGAGAAAACCACTGTGGTAAAATAGAATCGATTGGAAGATTGAATTCTATTATGAAGCATCTCAAACATATGGAAACATAAGCAATACAATACTTTGAACAGTGCTAGCTTCAGCAGCACATATAGTAAAATTGGAACGACACAGAGAAGATTAACATGGCCCCTACATAAGGATGATACACAAATTTATGAAGCAGTCCCTATTTTTAAAAAAACACCAATACTTTGAATGCCTGCAGCTTTAACTAATATTCTACATGTTACAAAAATAGCTTTTTGCACACACACAAACATTTTCTATGAATAAAACAGATGGGTTTGAAATTCCCTGTCTAATTCTTGTTCTAATCCCCTTCTTCCTGGCCTACTTCCCTCTTTAGATATAAACACTAGCTTGAATTGATTGCTTATAATATCCATGTAATTTTTAAGTGCTTTTGCTGCATGGGTATGTATTCATACACAGTATCTTCACTCAGTGTTGCTTTTGAGATTATTTCATGTTCATGCATATCGGCCATTCACTACTATATTCTTTTCTAAACTTCAGATATGCCATTACTGATTTATCAGGCTTCCTCCTCACCCTACCAGGACCTTTTAAGAAGGAAAATTTAAAGTTGTCTTTTTTTACTTGTTGGACAGACAGAATGTCAAGGGTCCCAGGTATTGTCATTTCATTCCTGCCTTTCTTTCTACCCCTTCAGTTTCTTGTTTCTTTGTCTAGATTTTGGTCCGTTAGGAAATTAGTCAAGATGAATCATGAACAAATTCACTGAACAGACATAATGAGCACCCCTTGTTAATTAAGAAGTGGACCCAAGGCTGACTGTCAAGTCTATAACCATCAGTTTGTAGATACCCCTTCATATCTATATTTTGCTGCATGCATATTTCATATACCTGCCTCTACTGTAACTTGTACTTTAAAATACTATGTGAGTACTTGTAAAAAATTCAATCTAACCAGAGTTTGATAACTCTTGTTCGGTCACTTTTGTAATTTTTCTTCTTTTATTTGCCATGGTAACATATTTTAAAATCAAAACATTCGATATTATCCCAAACCACTATTTTAACGTTGACACAGACTCTAAAGATCTCAGTACTCAATTACATGTTTGCTTATTTTAATAGACAGTTATTATTGTGTGAGCTTTTAATGTCCTATAGTACCATTCAAGATAGAATGTCTGAACTTTCCTTATCATTACACTGATTTTTAGTTAACAAATCCTCTTTTTTTAAGGGTTTGTAGATAACTGCTATTAACAATTAAATTATTCTTGTGACTCCTTGTGCTCTGGGTGGAAAACATTTTTTCTATTTTCCTTTATGAACTAATGCTGATTCACGCAAATTGGATTTAAACATTTGACTAAATTATCATCTACAAACTGAGATTTAAAGAAAAACAAACAAATCTACCCAAAATCACCCAGCATATAAACTGAAATTTCATCTGACTAAACTGTCTATTATTAGAACTTACGAGGCAAATGAAGTACACATGCTTGACATGTGAATCAGGAAACATCAGGGTGAGGTGGTATGTTTTCTAAAGGTTAAAGTAGATATTTCAATTATTTAAAAAAATGTAACACATTTTAAACTACTGCATCTTTTTCTTTTCTGCTGTGATTTAGAAATGATGTTACTGATTTTTGAACTTTTTAGTTTAAAAGTAAATCACTGGGCTAAGTGGTAACGGCTGAGATACTATGAGGGGCATCACTCCTGTGATGGCCTCTTATTGGTACTGAGGGAATTTTAGTTCAGAGCCATCTCCTCTCCACTTCGAACAATGATACGATGATGCTTGTGTTTTGTCTCATTCAGATCAAGTTTTCAGAATCTGACTACTTTGGCAACGTCCTGCAAACCCGCAAGTATTTAGCACAGTCTGATTTCTTCTGGCTAAGGAAAGCAGTTCCAAAAACAGAGTGAGTAAAAATAAAATAATCGAGAAAGTGAAATAGATAAATACATTGGTTTTGGGAAGAAGATTCTCTTTGGCTCAAACTTTGTGATTTCTCTCAAGTCAGAGTAGCTGACTTGCCAGTTATCTTGGTTTGGCAAAATCTTTGTTACACTTTCGCAGCTCCTATCACTGATAGTATGCAATTCACATCTTCAGTCTAATTATGGACTCTATGCTCGACACATCTAGTGTTAGTACATTTGAGGTGGCACTTATCAGAATGTAAATAGTAAAGTCATTTCTACAGTGAGCTATGAATAATAGAAAAAATTGTAGAGTTTTACGCACAGGAAGAACTTGGGAACATCTTAAAAAAATACCCCCACCCCACCCATGTGTTTAAGTCCATTCCAACTCACAGTGACCCTGTAAGACAGACTGGAACTTGCCCATATGATTTCCAAGGCTGTAAATATTTACAGAAGCAGATTGCCACATCTTTCTCCTGCGGGAAAAAAACCCTCCAAAGCATTATGTGAAATGTAAAGGTAATTAATAACATATAAAGTGGCTCAAAGGTATTTGTTAATGTAATCAATGTCACAGAACGGGTAGCTTTTTTCATCCAGCATGTTATCTTGTATTCACCCTGTTCTCCGCTTCCTTACATGGTATTGGGCTCAGTATAGCCAACATTCCTCCCTTGGTGAAGAATGTTGATGATGAGGGATAGTGAAGAGATCAGCTAACAATTTTTTTTGTTTATAGTGTATCATGTTATTCTAAGTGTTTTCATGTAAATTCTATTACATATCGGTGTTATTAGTATCCATCTTTTAAAATAAATAAAAACATTAAATGTCAGAAATTATTTAACTCCGTTTGGTTTGCCATCTCTCCTGCCTGATTGGTACTTTTGACTCTTGATTATAAACTTTTTTAACTATAATCCACTTTACCAATGTTTTCTACTTTTGATATGGCAGATTGGATAATTTCTATTACACTATATTCATGCTGACTAATATTTTCTTTTATATCTCGTATTTGCTATTGTGTTCGTGTAGTACATTTTTCATTTCGACTATTGTGCTATTCAATTCCAGAATTTCCAGTATTGTTTCTGTTTCTCTTTTGTGATTTTTTGTTGCATCATCATACTTTCATATTAATACTTTTATTTTTTTAATATATTTCATTTTTTAAAATGATATTTCAATTGCTACTTTGAGTTCTCTGCTAAATCTGAATTATGTGCCCACTCAGAGAAATCATTCATTGAAAACATTTTTGTACTTTCTTTTACCAGCTCTTTCTGGAAACTGGACATTTAAGATGTTGTTGTTAGGTGTCATTGAGTTGAGTACTACTCATAACGATCCATTACTTGTAGACCTGTTCTATGTTGTCATCATCATCCTCATCATCTCTGATACACCTGAGCCTATTGCTGCAGTCACGAGATCAATTCTACCTTTTTGGGGGTCTTCTTCTCTTTTGCAGACCTTCTACCTTTCCTCTCCAGAGAGATATTTATTATTGTTATGTCCTCTTGTTCTATTGACCCTTTAATCATTATGTACTGACCTTCCTTATTCTTTTTAATGGTTTTTGCTTTGAAATTTATTTTATCGTAGATTAATATTGCTACTCCTGCTTTTTTCTGGTTGCCGTTTGCTTGGTAGATTTTCCCCCATCCTTTTATGTTTAGTCTTTCTTTATCTTCACTTTTTAGGTGTGTCTCTTGTAGACAGCATATTGATGGATTTTGTTTTTTTATCCAATCTGCTACGCTTCTACTCTTAAATGGTGCATTCAACCCATTCACATTCAGTGTGATTATTGAGATGCAGGGTTTTATTGCTATCATTGTGTTGACTTCTTTTTGGTGTTGTTGCTAGTTACTTTGGTCCATGCTGCTGTCTGTTGTAACTCTAAAAAAAGGAGATCTCTCAGTGTTTCCTGCAATGCTGGTCTTGTTTTTACAAACTCTCTTAGCTTCTGTTTTTCTGGGAATATCTTGATCTCTCCTTCGTATTTGATGGATAATTTTGCTGGGTACAGTATGCTTGGTTGACAGTTGTGTTCTTTGAATGTTTGATATATGTATTTCCATCTCTTCTTGCACGCATGGTTTCTGCTGAGAAATCGGCACTTAATCTTATCTGTTCTCCTTTGTAGCTTACTCTGTTTCTCTCTTGCTGCTTCCAGGATTCTCTCCTTATCTTTGGTTCTGACAAATTTAACTATGATATGCCTTGGTGTTTTTCTTTTCGGGTCTATTCTATACGCTCAGCTTCTTGAATATATATTCTCTCATTCTTCATTATTTCTGAGAAGTTTTCCTCTAGTAATTCTTCCACAAGTATTTTGGTGTCTTTACTTGCTTCTGCCTGTTCTGGGAGTCCAATGATGCGCACGTTATTTCTCTTGATGTTGTCCCACAGTATTCTTAGATTTTCTTCTTTTTCCTTCCTTTTGGATTCTGCTTTTTGCTCTAGCAGATCAGTGGTGACATTTCTATCTTCTATTTCACTGGTTCTGTGTTCTTTCTCCTCAATTCTATTTATGTGTCCCTCCATCATGTTGACAGCATCTGAAACATTGGACCTCATATTTTGGATCATGGTTTCTTGTTTTTCCAGTGCCTCTAGCGCTTCCTTTGTTTTATCTGCATTGTTCTGGATTGCTTTTTTTTAGCTCCTCCTGTTTTTTCCTTGTAGCATCCTGTACTTCTTCGAGTTTGTCTTTCATCCATTGAAAATATTGAATCATTGTTCTTTTAAATTCTGTGTCAGAAAGTTCTATCAGACTTTCTGGTGTTAGGAAATCCATTGCTACTGCGTCACCCTTTCTTTTGCATTTGTGTAGTGTGATAAATCTGTGATAATCTGTATAAAAATTGGGAAGGGTGTACGCCAGGGATTTGTCCTATTTCCATACCTTTTCAACCTGTATGCAGAGCAGTTTATCCGAGAGGCGTGGTGTTAGGATTGGTGGACGATCTATCAACAATCTGTGTTATGCAGATGACACAACTTTGCTCACTGAAACTGAGGAGGACCTCATGCACTTACTGCCAAGGGTCAAGGACTGCAGCCTTTAATATGAACTGAGGCTCAATGTCAAGAAGACAAAAATTCTCACCACTTGACCAGTCAGCACTAGTAGCCAGGAAATCAAAAAACATATTGCGATGGGAAAGTCTGCGATTAGGGACCTCTCTAAAGTACTCAAGAGCAACAGTGTCTCTCTGGAGACTAAGGTGCGCCTGATACAGGCCATGGTCTTCGCAATCACTTGTTATGCATCAGAGAGTTGGACAGTGACTAGGGAGGATAGAAGGAGAATTGACGCCTTTGAGCTTTGGTGCTGGAGAAGAGTATTGATTGTACCATGGACTGCCAGGAAAACAAACAGATTCATCGTAGAGAGGGTTAAACCAGGCTGCTCCTTGGAGGCAAGGATTCTGGGGCTTCGCCTCACATACTTTGGACATGTTATAAGGAGAGACAGGTCTTTAGAGAGGGACATCATGCTGGGTAGAGTAGAGGGACAGCGCAGGAGGGGAAGACCCTCTATGAAGTGGATTGATTCAGTGACTGGGGTAATCGGGATGGGTGTGTCAGAGGCAATGAGATTGGCACAGGATAGAGCAGGGTTTAGGGCTGTTGTATATAGGGTCCCTATGAGTCGCAAACGACTCTATGGCACATAACAACAACAATAATCTATATAAAGTGTAATAGCCACAAATCTAATGTTAATCATCTGATCCTTTCAGAGCTGCCATATTTTTATACAAATAACAACTTATATTTGCTTGCTGTTTTCTCCTGTGACATATTTTTGTGAGTATGCTATGCTATTTTCCTTTTTTGCTGCAACATAAAAAAAATTCTAGGCATTGCCTAGAAAAATGCCTCACAGGAGAGGGCAAGGCTGGTAAATAAATATAGAAGGTACACATTATTTGCCTAAAATTATTTTACTTCTGATCAGTCTAGACTCTTCTTTTTGCAACTTGTAGGGAATGCAAGGCAGAGACTTGTCTATATTGAAGATGTTGCCAGTTGTCAGAGCTATAGAGCCTGCCCTGCTGTGTTTTCATTTGATCCAGAAGTGAATCTCTCTTTCTCTTTTTTTGAATTCCAATCTCTCCTACTATCACTTGCCTAATGTGTATGTTTGTCAGCAGCTGAGTTTACTGAAGGTTTATGAAAATAAAGGGATTTGTGTAATAAAAGTGCAAAGAATTTGAATTCAGGTGTTCACTATCTCTTTCCAGTTCCTTATGCCACCAGGGATTACCACTGGATTAGCTACCTCTTGCAGTGTGTCTCAACCTCTTCTGTTCCCCTCTTCTCTTCTCTCCTGTGTCTCTTCTCTTCCCCTCTGCCCACTTCCAAATGATTCTTACTCTACTATCAAAGCATTTCCCTTTTCCCTAGCCTCAGTTTTTAACCTCAGCTCGGGGGCCACATGTGAATAGCAAACATTCTTAAGTAACTCTGCCAGTTGACACTGAGATGTTCTTTTGCAGAATTACTCTCCATAGAGACCTGATGGTATTTTAAACAGCCACTTTGGATTCAGTTGCTACCAATAATTTTAAAGCAGAGAAAGACTTAATTCTTTTAGGCTTCAGAAGAAGATATGTAGCCCTAGGGATTTAGGAAGTCTGGTTAACGGAAAACCTGGCGAAAGTGTTCTGATCCTCTATTTCCCAGCCTCCTTTCCCCGTTGTACACCTTTCAAATACTAGATATTTGGAAAATGCAAACTGACGTCTTTTGCTTAGCATGCTAGAGAAGATTTCTTTTATGTGGCTATTACAGTTATTGACAGTATGTAGTATAAAGACATGGTTCACATGCTATGAAATATTATAGAAATTAACATGTTTTCTTTAGAGTCTGCCATTTTCTCCTGTAAATGAAGAATACATTCCAATTTAGAGATTAAAATATTCTCTATTGTATTTTCAAGAATCAATTTTTTCCTATGCTTTTGTTTATCATA